AAATTTAAATATGCAAATATTTTAACCTAACTAATTATCCATGGTTGTTTTGTATTTCCCTACTCTCTTGGCATAATATTTCTCACTCTGCTGTGTGCTTATAGCTGTTACCCTTTCAGGTGACGAGATGTAAGGGAAATCCATAACCCTACAAAATGGAACCTGCATATGGACTGATGATGAATCACTATTTTACCTCTCTTTTTTATATTTTTGCTTCTTTTTGTCTCTATTCGAGGCTGGTCACTGAATAAGAAAATAATGAAAGCCCTAGAAATGTATTTCTTTTTTTTAAATAGTAAAATGTAGTAAAATTTTTGTTTAATTATTTTTATTTTCGCTTGCGCAACTTAATTTGCTTCGAATAAGAATAAGTTAGTAAGTCACGATTCCAACTCTAAGCCCCTGGGGTTGGGTCGTGACACAAATTGTATAGAGCATTCAATAGGGAAAATTGTGATTCTGATGATAAGTCAAAGGAAAGGCACCAGATCCTAAAAGCTATTAACATATGTGTTTAAGCTTTATAATCTTGATATGAATATACAGATTATAGCTCTTGATCCAGGACTCATTACATAATATTTTCAATCTTCCCAAAATGAAAAAAAAAATTTATTAATACTCGTGTTTCTTGTACAACATTTAGTTAAATATTGAAATAAAATCATCAAGCACTGAAAGAAGCATATCATAATCTGCTCAACTGGATTGTATAACCCATGTTACCATTCCAGACATTATTCAGTGTCATTCTAAACACCCAAGACATCGAATCTAGCCCTTGAATACACCCTCTTAGCCTAAACATAGGAAATATTAAAAGTAGTATTTGATGATGAATTTGTTTGTTGATAAGCTCCCATAAGTTCCAACTTTCTGAACAACTTGACCAAATTTCTAAGTTCCACAAGCTAGCATTTTTATGCTAGTTTGTATTACACACTTTTACAATGAAGAAATGCGATTTTGTGAATATTTATATATTTATGACCAGTGATGTGTCTTATATTACACTACCAAGGGAATTCTGCTAGATGTAGATAAAGCGGGCTATTGAAGTAGGTGGGAGGATGTAACAAACAATGCATCCTTTGCAATGTGATTTATAATTTTGCTAAGTTATTCTTGCAGTGGGAACTGCACATTATACATACCTTTGAAAAAACCTCACTCTAGGCGGCTTACTCAAACTCCCTGCATAAGGCTTCCATGAAACTAATGATACTTTTTTTTTTTTTTTGAACGACAAAGATAACGGCTTCATTGATGAAAAAGTAATACAAAGTACCAAACAATTACACCAAAAAGAGTAGTGAAAGAGGATGGGTAAGTTGGTGAGGAACCAACGAAACCAACAAACAGATCGAACACCAGCAATAGCATACTCAGATCAGTACAGCAGTAGCAAGTAGAACAGATTAGAAACAATTACACCAATAAAAAGTAGTAGAACACCAGCAAAACACTTGCAGCCAGTAGAACAGATCAGAAACTTGGATACTCAGACCAACGAAGCCAGCAAAAACAGATCGAACACCAGCATAACACCATATCAGTACAGCAATAGCAAGTAGAACAAAAGCACCAGCAAAACACTTGCAGCCAACAAAACAGATCAGAAACTTGGATTCTCAGACCAAAACAGATCAGAACAGATCACAGCAAGTTGCATACACAGGTCAAACAGATCAGAGCATAGCACAGCAGGCTGCATACTCAAATCAAACAACCTGTAAGCTAGAACAGGTCTACAACAACCAAAACAGATCACTAGCAGCCATCAGAAACAGGGGAACCGAACTTAAAACCAGCAGGACAACACAGCAAACTGAAACAAATTTTTCAGAGAACCCAGAAACTCACAGCACTGGTCTCACCAAACTATAACAGACCTTGCCTCACTCCTGAGATATTGTAGAGGAAATCTGAGACCGAAAAATGAAGCTCCTTTGAGGCAGCCTTAAGCTAGAAAGCCAACCTAATGAGAATCAGCTCTCGCAGCTCCTGCAGATTTGGATTAGACGCATTAAAAAAACAATCATTCCTATGCTTCCATATTGACCATAGTGTTACCAAAGGTAGGGCACGCCAAATCCGCAGCTCAGCTTTCCTGCAAGGGTATCCTGACCACCATTGCAGCAGACCAATGACAGATTCAGGAATAACCCAAGACACACCCCACCACTGTAGAAGACCTGACCATACTCTCCAAACAAGTGGGCAGAGCATGAGAACATGCTCCAAAGATTCCTGCTGTGATTTACAAAATACGCACAATGAAGAGGCAGAGCTAGGCAAGACTCCAATCTGTTGCAAGAAAATAGCAGTTTTGATCCTGTATTTCCATGCGAGCCAACTGAAGAACTGAACCTTAGGAGGAAGAAACTTGATCCACACCAGACGACTGAAGCTTTCAGTCGCTCCATAAGCACTGCTGGTATGTTCGTAAAGGTTAGCCACAAAAGATTGCCCTGTCTTGGTTGCTCTCCAAACTGCACTGTCCGGAGTCTCTAACTGAAGAGAAGGGGCTGAACCTACAATGCCATAGAGCCTTAGCAATTCAGACTTTTCCCAAACAAAGAGTGGCCTCCTAAATGTGAATAACCAATTCTTAGTTGTGCCAGATACTTCCACAAAATCTTTTAGAAGACTATCCTTTTGTAAAGATAAACTGAAGAGGCGAGGGAACTCATCTTTTAGGCAGAGATTCCCACACCAAGGATCAACCCAGAAACTGATGCGGTAGCCATTTCCCACCTTTAGCTGGAGGTTGCTAGCATAGAAAAGGGAAAGGGACTGGTTTTGCTCACCTGCTGCCACTATGCCATTCCAGATAAATGAGAGAGAGGAGTTTAAACTTGGGTTTGGAACCCATTTCCCACCAAGGAACCGATATTTACTACAAATAACCTTATACCAAAGTGACATTGGTTCAGAAGCAAATCTCCACCACCATTTTAGAAGTAGACATACATTTACATCTCTGATTCTTCGAACCCCCAAACCACCTTGCTTAATACACTTGGTAACCTCTGACCATTTTACTAAGTGAATTTTACACTTGAGATCTGGCCCTCCCCATGAGAATGATGCTTGAATTTTGTCTAACTCCTTTGCAATTCCCTCAGGTAGCTTGAATAGTGATAAATTGTACACAGGTATGCTTGATAACATAGCTTTCACCAAGGTTAATCTACCTGCATAAGATAGTAGCCTCCTTTTCCAACCAGCTAGCCTTAGTTTTACCTTTTCAACTACTGGTGACCAAGTTTTCTTCCTTCTAGGGTTTGTACCCAAGGGTAGACCTAGATACTTTAAGGGTAGATTTTGGGACTTACAGTTTAAGAGGGAAGCAAACTCAATAAGGGTAGATCCGGAGATGCCAATCCCACAAACCACACTTTTATGGTAATTAATTTTAAGTCCTGAAGCCACTTCAAAGCATCGAAGAATTCTTTTCAAGCTTAGCACCTCTGATAGCCCCGCTTCACAGAAACAGAGTGAATCATCTGCAAATTGGAGGTGTGATAAATTCACCTCAACGTTGGCCCCAACTGATACCCCTCTAAGCAATCTCAGATCCATAGCTCTCTGGAGAAGGATATTTAATGCCTTAATGCCTCAACGACCAAATTGAAAAGGAATGGTGATAAGGGATCACCTTGCCAGAGCCCTTTTTGCGGGTTAAACTCCTTGGTGGGAGAACCATTGACAAGAATAGAAATTCTAGCAGTGGTGACACACTCCTGAATCCAAGAGATCCATTTTTCGCCAAACCCAAATTTTGCCAACATTGAAAAAGGGAAATTCCAGTTGATGGAGTCAAAAGCCTTCTCAAAGTCTATTTTAAATAGCAGCCCAGCTTTCTTGGATTTGACCCAACTATCCGCAACTTCATTTGCAATCAAAATACCATCCAAGAAGTTTCTACCTCGCAGGAAAGCAGATTGTGAATCACCTATAATCCAAGGCATAACTAGCTTCAATCTATTTGTTAGGACTTTAGATAAAATTTTGTAGATGGAACCAATTAGACTAATAGGTCTGAATTCATTTAATGTTAAAGCTTTCTCCTTCTTTGGGACAAGAGAAATGAATGAGCTATTCAAACCTGGGAATAATCTGTCACTGGCATGAAACTCTTGCATGAAATTGAGGACTTCCCCTTTAAGAACTTTCCAAAATTTTTGGAAAAACAACAGATTAAATCCATCAGGTCCTGGTGCTTTGTTCCCATTACAATCACTTAGTGCTGTCCAAACTTCATCTTCAGAAAAATCTGCTTCAAGCCCATGGAAGTGAGAGCTGAGCCTGGCATTTTTGAATTCACCTGACAAGGTTGGTCGCACTTTCCAATCATCTTTGAAAAGGCTGGAGAAGTGATGCCAAACCTCATTCTTGACAGAAACTGGATCCTCAATGACCACATCCCCAATTGTGATGGAATTAATAGTGTTTCTGGTTTGTCTACTAGTGGCCATGACATGAAAAAACCTCGTGTTCCTATCCCCTTTTAGATTCCAGTCCAGCCTTGATTTTTGGAGCCATTCCCATTCTATCTTCCTGCTCAAAGACCACATTTCATTCCTTTTCTCTCTTTGCAGCACCAATTCACTTTCATTCAGGGGGCTGGTTTCAGCTTTTAGATCTAGATCATGCAAAGCAGCTTCAGCGGCTTCTAATTTCTTAGCAACATTACCATAAGACTCTTGATTCCATTTTCTTAAAGCCAACTTTAGGGACTGCAGTTTCCTCTTCAGAATAAACCCTGCTGATCCATTCAGATGTAGTTCTCCCCAGTTGCTCTCTACCAAGGAAGCCAGAGATGGATGTAGGGTCCATGCATTCAGAAATTTGAAGGGTTTGGGCCCCCAATCCCTGCCATCCTCCATGAGTAGGAGTGGGCAGTGGTCAGAAATAGTTCTTGGGAGGCCCCAGAGTTTAAGTTTATATCTCACTAGCCATTCAGGACTGAGGAGAAATCGATCTATTCTACTCTACTTTTTCCCTTCAATAGTGTTACACCAAGTGAATTTTCTGCCTAGCATTTGGACATTGACCACCTCACAATTTTCAATGAAGTCATTAAACTCCTGCATGCCTCTATCCCTGCGAGAAACTTCTATTCTTTCCCCCACATTCCTAATCTCATTGAAGTCTCCACCAAGGCACCATGGATTGGAAAAATTAGTTTTCAAAGTTAACAGATTTTCCCATAAAGCCTTCCTCCTTATTACATCATTTGGGGCATAGATGTTGACCACAACACAGTCAAAAGAATTGTGAACCTTACCTGACAAAAGAATGAAGTTCCTGCTGCAGCAGCAATCTGAAAGATGGAAGACCTCAGGATCCCAAATGCAGATTAGTCCACCAGATAGGCCTGCAGCATCTACAGTCATGAATTCCAACTTTCCTCTAGGCCAAAGACTTTTTACTAACAAGGTTGTGATGCTTGATTGCTTTGTTTCTTGGAGCAAAACCAAATCTACTGCCCTATCATACAATAGCTTCCTGATTTTCCTTCTCTTTTCAGGCCTTCGTAGACCTCTGACATTCCAGCTTAGAATCTTCATGTGCAACAGACATACTCCAGATAGCCCCCATAAGGAAACTGGTTATTCTACAATACCAGGTCCTCCAGCCATTCTCACTTTATCATGCTCCTCCATGTGCATGAATTTCTTGACAACCTCGGATTCCTGACCCTTATAGTCGATCCCCAGAGTTTTGCCAACCTGAAGTGTTTCAATGGCCTCATGTAGAGTATCCTTAGAAGATGAGGTGTGGATTGATTCGGAAATATGACTGGGTGAGGAGTGAACAGATGAAGATTTGGCTTTAATTTCTGATTTGGACCCAAAGCTTGAACCAGCACCTTTGTGACCTACCCTGCTTGCAAAACCAGCGAATCTTCTTGCAAGTAGTGAGTACTTTAACCCTTTCCTTCTAGTAATTTTCCTTTTACCTATGTTAATATGGCTGATGGAGGAGCCTGAAGTGGGTTGCCTGTAAGTATCGATGGCTTTAGTTTGCGGACTCACGCCTGAAGTTCCACACGGCTGCCCCACACCAAGAATATTTGATCCACTAATAAGAGGCCCAGAGGTTAGAAAATTCAGGTTCCTTGGCTCATTGGGCTGCAGCCCATTTTGATCTTGACCCAGAGCTATCTCTATACGGATGCCCAGCCTCTCATTTGGAGACTGACTAAGGCTTTTTATATAACCCGAGGTTATGATCTGGCCCTCTATTGCCTGGTCTACTGAGAGCCTTTTCTGAGAATCATGATTGCACTCGACCCACTCTTGCGGATTTTGCGGTAATAGCTGCTCATCTACACCTTTTTGGGCAAAATGATTACTCCTCTGGTGTAGACTTATCAGTGGCAGTACTGATTCAGCCACACACGTGCCTTCTTCGTTTGAATTCCCAACGCAGCCTATAGTCTCAGCAACAACGGATGTGTTACTCCAACTGCCTCCTACAGCTAGCTCATCCATAGCCTTCATCCCAGATGTCGTGCCCTCATTGATTCTAGCAGACGCTCCTGCCATGTCATCTGCTTTGTCACCATCTTCCTCCTTTGTGTTATGTTTTTGGCTGGGATGGATTGCACCATTGATTTCAGAACATAAAGCTTCGACTGGCTCCTTCGAGAGAGTTTCTTTACAATTGAAACTAGCCTCCTCAACACTCTGTTCTTCAAGAACTCGAACAGGATATACTCTTCCTTTACACTCCAGATTGAGACTTGTATTAATCGGATCCATGACAACAGTAACTATTTTGAGTCTGCCATTACGAAAAGAATTCGGTGCACCAATATTTCCATCCAGGAACACCACCTCACCCCATGTGCTTCCTATCCTTCTGAAAGTGTTTGAGCTCCAGAGGTTTGGGGGAACCCCAAAACAACTGATCCAAACTTGCCTCTGTTGTTGTAGATACTTACCAGGGCTCCACACTGTGATGTACTCGCACCAGTCATGGAACCATCCCGCAACCATAGACTTTTTACCCATGAAATCTTCTTTGGACAGAAATGAAAGAAAAACATCTCGACCACCTCATTCTCTTACCAACACGTTTAGCTCTTCTCTTTTGATGAGCTCATTTTTCACCTGCACAGATGTGTGATCTAGTTTGAGTCTCATGATCAAGCTCTCATAAAGCCAACCATTTCCTGACTCCTCTACTCTGATTGTTGTTGTAGAAGCAGGTTTAGTTTGATCCCCTTTGATAACTTCTGCAAACAACCTCCCATCAGTGTGATGATTCCAGATGGAGCTTTTGGCCATACCAGATGAGTTTCTGACCATTGGTTGTCTGGTTGCTACATTTCCCCATCGCTGCCTTGCTTGTGTGTGTTTATCAAACGCTGCAATGCGGACTGATAGAGATGTATCATCAACCCACAAACCATTAGCTTTTTGTTCTGCTACGCTAGCTGCAATGGAGCAGTCTTAACGTACAAACCCAAATCTGGAATTTGTCGCTTTCCTTCTCTTATGTGGGATGACGTCTTTAACCACTCCAAATTTGTTGAACAGGTCATAGAGGTTCTTTGGTGCCAAAGATTCAGGCAAGTTGTCGACGAGGAGCGTGATCAAGCTCAATCTACGACCATCAACCCATGAATTAGGTTTTTTTTGTCTTTCTCTTTGCTTCACCACTGGGATCCAACCACCGAGACTCCCTTTGTTAGCCATTTTCTGCAGACAAGACTTTGATGAAACTAATGATACTTGAATGCTACGTAATGTTCTGAATGGTACTTCTACTGAGAGAATTTTTAGTTGAGAAAAGATATTACCAAGGACTTTTGTGTTAAGACTCAGTATTCAAGTCTCACGACCCCATGCGCGCAGCAGATGGAGGTCAAACTAGCTAAGGTAAAATGAAGGCAAAAAGAGGTATACATAGTCATACTTTGATCAGATAGTTTTTTTCCAAATAGCATCTGCATCAAACAGTGAGTCATCTTTAACCCTGCTAGGTTGTTACTTGTCACCCATACTGTTTAATACAAACCCTGATTTCCAATTGGTTCTCCAAGAACCTATTACATTAGAATCAGACATTAGCACAATTAATCCTTTTTTAACTGTAAATGTGTAGTTTTTTTTCTTTTTTTCCCTCTGTCTTTCTATCTGTCTCTCTCTTCCTCTTCAGATGCAACCTTTTTGAGTACGTGATGATATCTTTGCATATCGATATTAGAGTTTACAATCTTATTTATTTATTTATTTATTTGTTGAAATAAATATTAAATGTTTTTCTTCTTCTGTAACCTTAAAATTAATTATATTGTAAATGATTTTTTTTTGGGTTTCTTTTTGCAGATGCAATCATTTTGAGTATATGATGATATCTTTGCATATCGATGTTGGAGCTTACAATCTTATTTATTTATTTATTGAAATAAGTATCAAATGTTTTACATTTTTTTTGTAAGCTTGAAAGTAATTGTGTTGTAAATGATGAATGTTTTTTGTTTGTTTCTTTTTGCAGATGCAACCCTTTTGAGTACGTGATGATATCTTCGTATATCGATATTGGAGCTTACTATTGATATCAAAACAAGCTATAATATATATGTTTTTTTAATTTGTATTGTCAATATTTTGGTTTTGTTTTAGATACAAAAATTTGAGTTATTGAATATAAAAAATTATTAGTATTGTTGGAGAATGTTTTGTATATTTTTGTAAAGAATATTTGGTTGACAATTGTTACAAGGTACATATATATTATTCTTGGTATGATTTTGTGAATGTAAATGTGAATGTGGATGTGGATGTGGATGTGAATGTGAACGTGAACGTTGATGTGGATGTATTTTATTTTAAAAAATATTAACAATTTGTACATGGAATGAATTAATAAAATATATATTCATTTTATGAAAATAATTTTATTACGACAATAATAAACCATCGCTAGTATAATCATCATTTTCTTACATTTTAGTGACGGGTTAACCTGTCGCATATGCATATTAGTTCAAACTTTTAGCAACGGTTTAAATTGTTGCAAATATAATATTAATTTAATTCTATTTTTTTATGCCATTTTAGACCGTCGCTAATAATACTTTTCGCGATGTCAAATACTGTCACTAAAAAAGTTTTGGCAACGGCAACCAATATCGTCACTAAAAATGAAGGTTTTTTTTTCTTTTTTTTTTGTGTCAGGTTAAACCGTCACAAAAACCATTGATTAACCGTCGCTACAAGAAAGCGACAGTTTGTAACTATCGCAAATACTTTTTGTCACACCCCCTTCCGCCACCCCCCATTTCCCGTCGCTACTCCGTCGCAAAAAGTCTTTTGCGAGGATATGTGAACTTTTTGCGACGTTTAAGACCGTCGCAAAAGTTCTGATTTTTAGTAGTGATACTACTGTATAATTATTTCTTAGATAAACTATCAATAAATCTTAATAGTTGGATTTAATTCCCATCAAGTTCTATTAAAAATAAATTCTAGTAAAATCGTCTCTAAAAATAATTTTACGTGACGTTTTTTATATATGTTGTTAAAAATTGATAATTAGAGACTTTTTTTGTCACGATTTTTATAAATTGTTGCTAAAACTTAAAATTAGTGACGTTTTTCTGTGACAAATTTTTTAAACAATCATTAAAAGTTAAAAATTAGTGATTTTTTGTAATAATTTTTTTAAACTATCGTTAAAACTTATAATTAGTAATATTTTTTGTGACAATTTTTAATTGACGCTAAAAATTAACAATTAGTGATATTTCTTAATAATATTTAATGAAAAATATCATTAATTATGATAGAATCCATTAAATAATAAATCCAGACCTACATGTAGTTGTCCTTTATTTCTCCCTAAAGAAACTACTATATTGTACAAAAATTATTGCAACATACACGAGAAATTATTCTTCACTCTAGAAGCATTACTTCACCCCATTCATATTTGGATAAGTGTACAATTGTCTCTCCAAACGAGACAAATACCTAATGAAACCCATTGTTTCAACTAATAATCGTGAGGTTGGAACACTACCTAGATTTACCGCCGGGACAATGAATAATTTCTCCAACTTCATCCGTAGATCAATCTCTCTCTCACAGCCTCTCATATTATATCCAATCAAATAATTTCTCCAACTTACACCCGTAGATCAATCTCTCTCTCTCTCACACAGCCTCTCATATCATAACCAATCAAACTTCAGCCTCTCATATCACATCCAATCAAACTTCAATTATTTCTTTCTCATAGCCACTCATCTTTTTACCTTAGAAAAGCGAGTCTTTCACATATAGTCCATCAAACTTCGTATTGAGTATTAGTTGTGAAACAAAAATGGTGTCGGTTGTTGATCTTCCTCTGCATCGTTCATCAATTTTCTTCATCATCTTCACATGGTTTCTCTTCATTCATCATGTGAGATCAACAGCAGTGGAGAGATCCACGTACATCATCCACATGGACAAGTCTCTCATGCCCAAAGCTTTCACTACTCACCACCACTGGTACTCCTCCACCGTCGATTCCTTAAAGCAATCGGGTCCGACCACCACAACAAACATGTCAAACTCAATATCACCACCATCACCCAGTGTAATCTACACCTACGACAATGTTGCACATGGTTTTTGTGCACTTCTCTCTCAAAACGAACTAGAAGCTGTAAAAAAATCACTAGGGTTTGTCTCGGCTTACAATGATAGAGAACTCAAACTTCGTACCACTCACACCCCTGAGTTTCTCTCCCTCAATCCTTCATCGGGGCTATGGCCGGCTTCGAATTACGGCAAAGACGTGATCGTCGGTGTTGTCGACAGCGGAGTGTGGCCGGAGAGCTTAAGCTTCAAAGATGATGGTATGACGTCACCAATTCCATCCAAGTGGAAGGGAACCTGCGAGGTTGGACAAGAATTCAATGCCTCCATGTGTAACTCAAAGCTTATTGGAGCTAGATACTTCAACAAAGGTCTGATTGCTAGTAAGCCTCATATTAAGATCAGCATGAAGTCGGCTAGGGACACTGGGGGCCATGGTACTCACACTGCATCAACAGCTGCTGGGAATTTCGTCGAAAGCGTATCGTTCTTCGGCTATGCAGAGGGCACGGCGAGAGGTCTCGCACCACGTGCTAGATTGGCTGTTTACAAGGTCAATTGGAATGAAGGATTCAAATCATCTGATTTACTTGCTGGTATAGACCAGGCAGTTGCCGATGGGGTCGATATATTGTCACTCTCGTTTGGTTTCGACTATGACCTTCCTTTCTATGAGAATACTATTGCAATAGCTTGTTTTAGTGCCATGGAAAAAGGTGTGTTTGTTGCTCATGCAGGAGGAAACACTGGTCCGGATATTTTGAGCTTGTATGATTCAATTCCATGGACCACGACAGTTGCTGCAAGTAGCATTGATCGTTCGTTCGCTGGAACAGTAACTTTGGGAAATGGGTTAACGATCACTGGATGGTCTGTGTTCCCTGCAAGTGCCTTAGTGGAAAAGTTACCATTATTTTACAATAAAACCGTAGCTTTCTGTAATTCAACTGAGTTGCTAGCTCAAGTTGCTTCTTCCATTATAATATGTGAAGGCATTGGTGACGTTTCGTCTCGATTACAACTTATCTCTAGCCTCAATGTTCCTGCTGCTATATTCATATCCGATGAAATTTTTGAGACGTCGGCATATTTTCCATGGCCTGGTGTGGTGATAAGCACAAAGGATGGACATGCTGTGATCAAATATGCAAAATCTAAACATAATCCTTTGGCTAGCATGAAGTTCAAACAGACCGTGTTAGGAACAAAGCCTGCACCAGTTGTAGCTTCATATTCCTCAAGAGGTCCTTCCAGAACTTATACTGGACTCTTGAAGCCGGATTTAATGGCTCCTGGGTCACATGTCTTGGCCGCTTGGATACCCATTGTATCTTCAGCAACGATTGGGTTTGGTATAAGCTTGTCCAGTGACTACAAAATTGACTCTGGAACCTCGATGGCTTGTCCTCATGTTGCTGGTGTGGCTGCACTCTTAAAAGGTGCACACCCTGAATGGAGTCCCGCTGCCATTCGATCTGCCATGATGACCACTGCAAGCCCAATTGATAATACTGATAATCTTATCCAAGACTATGGACAAAATAATACATTTGCTTCACCGCTAGCCATGGGTTCAGGTCAAATTGATCCAAATAAAGCACTTGATCCAGGTCTGGTATATGATACACCTCCACAAGACTATGTGAATGTGATGTGCTACATGAATTATACAAAGAAGCAAATCTTAACCATCACGAGGTCAAATCGCTACAATTGCTCAAAGCCCTCCCCTGACCTAAATTACCCATCATTTATTGCATTTTACAATAACAAATCAACAACAATGGTTCAAACATTTCAGAGGACTCTTACTAATGTGGGAGATGGTATGGCAACTTACTATGCTAAGGTCATGGCACCAACAGGCTCTAAAGTAAGAATCTCACCAAGGATGTTGATTTTTAATGGGAAGTACGACCGGAAGAGTTATACTTTGAGTATAGAGCGTAAGAGTAATTTGAATGGTACCATGACATATGGATCACTTGTTTGGATTGAAGATAGCGGAACACGTATGGTGCGGAGTCCAATCGTGCTGTCACGTGAGGTACATTTTAACTACACAACTCCACCTTTCAAATAAGAGTAAAGATATAAAAATAAAATATTTATAATAATTATGTTTCCATTATTTTAAAAACACCAATCCTTTCTTGGCCTAGAAATTCTGGTTACACATCATTATCCTTTAAATAATTGATTGTAACATTGTGGGGGAATATTCGTGGCATGTTAGTCGGCTACAAATTTAAAATATATAAACAACTCTTTTGGTTTATGGTCTTTTTCGCAAGTGGGCCATGTAACATGTGATATTGGTTTGTTTACTTTTTTATGTGTAAGCTTTGTATTTATTTATTTGTTTTCCTGTAATTTTTGTCTGGCATCAATAAGGTCCTTATCCCTCGCTTCGACTCTTTTTAATTAATTTTTTTTAAGGATTCTGTTTCTTGCTCTTTTGAGCTCTACCTTGCCCTTTTAACCCTACAAAATATGATACTCTATACAAAGAAATGATTTATTAAGAGTAATAATATTTATACTCTATATAAACAGGGGAAAGAAAAGGAGAAAAAAAAACAAAGAAGAAGATTGTTGTAGTACCCCAACAATTTGTTGATATTATTATGAATTTCATTAATATGTGTCTATAGGACACATGTTAAAAGAGTTTTAAAAGATTGTATATTCTCATTTTCATATAGAATGTATGATATTGTTAATGACGAAATAATCAATCAAGATCATCATTTAAGGCTATTGAAAAAAACCAAAAAAAAAAAAAAAACTTTTGAGTTCAAAAATGAGAAAATGTTGTTATTATGCCATTCAAATTCATATAATAATAAAATAATAATAAAAATACCGAAGGTGGTTGGTCTAGTAGGTAACGACTGAGGCTTAGAGGTTTGCTCCCTCCTAGGTTTTAGGTTCGAATCCTCTAACCAATAATGCACACCTTGTGGTCACGGACCGTAGGACGTATGCTTTATTTCGAAAGGCTTGTTCGGGATATAGAGATTTAGTTTGGTGCGCGTAAACTGACCCAAAATACCCTACATAACAAAAAAATAAAAAATAAAAAAAATTCATATAATAATGTGTTATTATGTCAAGTGGCATTTTTCATCAAAATTAACAGACACTAGTTATTGGATTAAACTAGAAAATATAATAAATGTTAGCAAACAATGTGAAAAAAAATAAGTTTTAAGGCTAAAAGGGAGATAATACCAAAATTTAAAAGGGATAAAGTGTAATCTTTCTTATTTAGGCTTTGGTTTGGGATTACAAGTTGTCACATCACTTTCTCTACTTTTTACTTACCTTTTGTTGAAAAGTTAAAAAATTACTAAAATAACCTTATTACAAAATATAAGAGTGCTTTGGTCTCTAAAAGTAAAATTTTTGCTGTAAAAGACATTTAAGGATCAATTTTTATCGTCATGAAGATAGTTGTTAAAAGATTGTCCCGAAAAGTAAAAAAAAAGCTTTTAGCGACAAAATTTAAAAAATGTCACTAATAAATTGACTTTTAAGGACAAAATAATTTGGTCTCAAAATAGTTTATTTTTTTAGACCAAAAATTTAGTCCAAAAAGAATAATAATTCATCACTAAAATCTAATTTTCGTTACTAAAAATATAATAATGACACTTTTTATAATAAAAATATTTAATCCTTAAAAATTAATTTTATTTCTAAATTTTAATTTTTTGTGATGGCTATTTTGAGTCAACAAAAAGTACAATTTATCATTAACTTGATGACTGGGGGAAGACTTTACAAAAGGCTGCTATGATCATGAGCTGATTTCCAAGACTCAAAATTTTGTAGTTTTACTGTGATATATAATTTTGTAGTTTTACTGAGGTATATTTTGATGTGATCGAATGATTCGCTTTCATCGATGCCATAGAAGCTAAGCGTTAAAAAATAATATAATAATAATTAATTAAATAGATGAACGATCGAAACAATGGAAAGATAGTAAAATAAAGAAAGCCTGGGCTTGTTTAAAAGCATTCGAGTGGGTGTATTTGTCACTTGTTAGAACATACTATAACTTTGATTTAAACCCCTACATGGAGTGTAACTGTTGAGGAATATAATTCAGTGAGCGCAGGTTCAAGTCGTGTAGTAGCTTAGTTCAAGTAGTGCAGTAACTCAAGTGCAACTCCGACTCAGATTGTTGAACAGATTATAGTTCAAGAAGTTCATCTGTTTAGAAGTTAGTTAGAGTTAGTTATACAGTTGAGGAGATAGTTAGTTTGTTAGAAGATATTTTGTTAGATGATTAGTTGAGCTCCTTATTACTTTTTATAAATATAGCTGATATATTATCAAATGTGTTGTTGAATGAGAAAGCAGATTGGTTTTAGTTTTGTTTCATGGTATCAGAGCCTCTGAGCTCCAACGAGCAACTGATTCATGGCATCACCATTATCATCTTTGCTTCATTTAAATCTCACTCTATTAATTTCTAATCTTTCTTCCTTTGTTACTATCAAACTTGATGGTTCCAATTTCCTTGTTTGGAAGACTCAGCTCTCGAATATTCTTCGAGCCACAAATCTGCTTGGTTATGTTGATGGATCAATTCCATGTCCAACCTCTACAATCATAGATCCAGAAGGAGCTTCTATTCCAAATTCTGAATTTTTTCAATGAACTTTGATTGATGCACATTTGCTCAGTTGTATCACTGCAACACTTACACCTTCAATTTATGCATCTGTACTTCAGTTTCATCATTGTTTTGAGGTCTGGAGTTCCTTCCACAAGAGGTATATAACTTTGTCTCGATCTCATATTCACCAATTGAAAAACAAGTTAAACCGTGTTGCTAAGAAAACTGAGTCAATGGAAGAATATCTCTCAAAATTGAGGACCTTGTCAGTCAGTTAGCCCTAGCATCTGTTAAAATTGAAGATGAAGATCTAGTCTTAGTGACTCTGAATGGTCTTCCTTTTGAGTTTGATTCATTTGCTACTGCCACTCGTGCTAGACCAGACAACATCACCATGGATGATCTTTGTGCTTTACTGTGTTCTGAAGCAATTCATTTAGATTCCAAGATACACGAATCCACAGAACAACTGTAGCTTTCTCTACAGTTAAAGGATCTCTAACTCCAAATTCTTTTCACACTTCTTCTTCAAGATCTAAGAATTTTGGCTCCAATCGAGGTCGATCTTATTCCAGAGGAGGCCGAAGTAGAGGTTATGGTAGATTTACACCATCTCGAGGTCAAGGGAGGTTCTCCAATCAAAATTTCCAAATTTGTGGAGGCTCCAGTCATTCTGCACTGGAGTGTTGGTATCGCATGGATCCACAATATCAGGCTTCACATCAAAATGTTCAAACTCACAATCAACAGCAGTAACCACGAGCCTTTGTTATTTCCTCAGCAGCCTCCATGTCTCCTTCTTCAATAGGTTCTTCCTTAGTTCAAAGTCCTTGGTACTTGGATTCTGTAGCATCAGATCATGTGACTAAAGATCTCAGTCATCCAAATTGCTATTAACCTTATTAAGGCCCAGAACAAATTACCATAGGAGATAAAAACTCCATTCTTATCCAGCACACTGGTAAAGGTCTTCTTCCAACTCCACATCATTTGTTTAAATTGAATAATGTGCTACTTTCATATTCTATTTCTTCTAATCTTGTCTTTGTTCAGAAATTTGCTAAAGATAACAATTGTATTATCAGTTTTGATGATACTACATTTGTCATTCAGGACAAGTTTACGAAGAAAATTCTTCACAAAGGCTCTAATCTTCATGGCTTATATCACTTTCTTCCATCCACTTCACTACCTACTGATCATGCTTCTTTAGCAGCTCCCACAAGTTTTGCTTCTCAAAGGCTGTCTAGTTTTACTTCTGTTTCTAATAATGTTTGGCATAATAGGCTAGGACACCCTAGTGCTTTGAAGTTTAAGCATCTTAGTTCACAATTGCATCTTAACTTTTCTCCTTCTGTAACATCTCAAGCTTGTGTAGACTGTTATATTGCCAAAAGTAATAGATTACCTTTCAAGTTGTCTAATTCTACTGTAAATAAGCCCCTTGCTTTAATCCACAGTGATGTTTGGGAGCCTTTTTCATCCACTTCATGTTATAAATACTATGTTTTCTTTGTGGATGACTTTAGTCGGTTTACTTGGTTATATCCATTGGTTTATAAGAGTGATGTTTATGACAAGTTTCTTGAATTCAAAACTAATGTAGAAAAACAATTTGATACTCACCTTAAGATCCTTCGAACAGATGGTGGTACAGAATTCTTTAATAACAAAATGAAAACTCTCATTGTGTTACAAGGAATTGTTCATGGACATTCTTGTCCTCGTACACCATCTCAAAATGGTGTAGCTAAATGAAAACACAGAAATCTCATTGAAATTGCTATTGTTTTACTTCACCACTCTTCTATTCCTGTGCATTATTGGTTTGATGCTATTGCTTGTGCTATTTACCTTATTAATAGACTGCCTTCTTCCAAATTGGCTTATAAAACACCTTTTGAAACTTTGTTTCATAAACTTCCAGATTTTTCTCTTCTCAAAGTTTTTGGTTGCCAATGCCTTCCTTGTCTCAAACCTTATCATCCTACCAAACTGCAACCTAAATCGGTTGAATGTGTCTTTTTAGGCTATCATTCTTTTGCCAAAGGGTATAGGTGTCTTGATCTCAAAGCTAGAACTATTTATCTTTCTCGTCATGTAGTGTTTAATGAACATATTTTTCCTTTTGCCCATCAAGTTTCTTTCTCCTCATCCTCTTCTTCAGCATAGTTCCCTTTCCTTCAATCCTTCTTTTGGTCTTCACCTTCTTCTTCTCCAGCTTTACAGACATCATCTGTTCCCACTGTTTCTGTTTCACCATTATCTCATCCTTCTACTGCCTTTTCTTCATCAGCATCTGGTTCTTCTTCTCTTTCAAATTCTACTGGTTTACCACATCATTCTACTGGTTTACCTCATAATTCTACTGGTTTACCTCTCAGTCTCTCTTCAGCTCAGTCTTCTCTTCCAATTATTTCTCCTTACCTTCATTCTCCTATCCCCGTTAACTCCATTTCTATTCAGTGGCCTCTTCCTTCACCTTCTGCTTCCCTTCTTTCTGTGCCTCCTTCTTCTAATTGTCATCATATGCTTACTAGGTCTAAAGCAGCTATCCCCACTCTCAAACCTACTTCTCTTTCTTTTCATGATGTTGAACCTCTCTCTCACAAGGAGGCCTTGGTTATTCCTATTTGGAAACAGGCTATGTTAGAAGAATTTCAGGCTCTTCAAGCCCAAAAAACTTGGTCCCTTGTTTCTCTTCCTCTTGGGAAGCATGCCATAGGTTGTAAATGAGTGTTTAAGGCCAAGAGGAATACTGATGGGACTGTTGCTAGACATAAGGCCAGATTAG